ATAACCATAAAATTAGGCGATGGAGTCGCCGATTGTAGGCGCGAAGCGTCGAAGGACCAGTTATCGCGTAAAAGACTGGTATCAAAAAGACCGTTGTTAGCGAGGATGTCAAAAAGGACCAATAGTTCGTGAGTAGAGGGGTCAGGAGGACCATAGTCTTGCATGGGACGGGGGTTAGAAGAACCGTAGTTGGCAGGAGTCGGGTCAGAGCAGACCGTCAGTAATAAGGTGGTAGCTCCGCGCAAGAAGTATCCGAGCCATCAGGATAGTGTCGGCAAGTCGGTGCCTCAGGTAGTGAATCCAGCAACACTTCAGTGTTATGGAGGTAGTCCACAGGTGGCAGTCTTAAGCGTTAAGGGGACACTTCGTCTACGGGGTGCACTTCGTACTTGGTATAGTCTTTGGTGGTTGGTTCGTTAGATCCTCGCGTCGGTGGTGCTGACGAAGACTCCGACGGCTGGGTATGAGAGAGCTAGGCAAGCTGGATCTGTTCTTCCTTCTCTTCCTTCTTCTCTCTTTGACTCTTTCACTCTATTTAAGATGGACAATGGTTGTTATTATTTATAGAATTCTTAGATGGCATGACTTGTAAATAAGTGGAAGATTAATTTGGTAGATATTGAGTGGTTCTGAATGGATAGACGACCGATCTTGATTCCTTGCGAATATGCACGTCAACATGGACTGTGACTTGACTATATTATGATATCAGAATTGATGTATTTACGTTCGTCTGGATTCGGGGTCATCGAAGCAGCTCGATTCGACTATAAAGTACCATGTCATAGATTTGGAGGCTATTTTCTTAACCCTAAATGTGGTTTGTCGCGTTCCAAAAGTGTATTCGATGTCGTGTGGATTTATGAGCATGGGCTCGATTTCGGCTTTCAAATTTTGGTGTCGTTGGGTGTGTTTCTGGAACGCTCAGTATCGACTATAAGTTTGAGATGGTCTCATTTTAAATTTTGGATGCTTCCAACTTTATTTGCTTAGATTCCGTGCTGCTGTATCATAGGATAATTTTTGATGATGTATCACACATAAATTATGTAATTTAATTTGTGTATTTTCATATAATATTATTTCACTTCCTATTTTTTTTGAATATTTTAATTTACCATGTTAATATATATTAATAAATTACATCTTAAAATATTATTCTTTATTTAAGCATTATTAAAACTCAATCCTCACTTACTTCTAAATTCACATTCCTCTTATTGAATTTAGAATTAGATAATTTTTAGATGCTTTAAATTAGTTAGCTTAGTCTCAATATCAAACTATGCTTATATTTATTAAGTAATATTTATTATAATCAATTATTGATTTCTTTAAATATTTTTCAATTATATTATATATATATTTAAAAATATATATATTAGAGTTCTCTTTCAAATCTTACTGCTTTATAAAGTAATTTTAAAAAAAAAATTCAATTTAAAAATTTCAGATATTAAAAAAATATTTAAAAAAAAATTAAAAAAATATTCCATATAAAGCCTTCATCATCTTTCAATAAATTTTATATTAAATAT